GCGGCGGTGTGACACCGACACCGGGACCGCAAGCTGCCTGGCGGCTACCTCCAGAACAATCCACTCCAGCACCCCCAAAAGGAACACCCCCAGAGCTCAGAACCCCTCGAGCACCGGTACCACCCCCAGGCCCACCGGGACAAGGCTTGACAGGAGTCCCAGGACTAGTACCCACCCCAACTCTTGCACCCCCAGAGGCAACGAACTGCTGCGGCGACGGCTGCGGCGGCGGCGGCTGCAACGACGGCTGCAGCGGCGGCGGCGGCGGTGACGACGGCAGCGACAGCTGTGGCGATAGCGGCTGCGGAGGCGGCGGAGGAGGAGACACCTAAGAAGGGGCAGGCGCCGAGGACTGCGCTGCAGGACCACCAGAGTCAGCAGACTCCTCAACTGGGACAGCCGACGTAAGTGGGGTGACGTGGGACACACCAGAGGGGGCAGGACGTGGAGGGGGAGGAGGAGGGGCGGCGACGACCAGGGAAGGGGTGACCAGGAAGAGGGGGGGGTAACTGGGGGACCTCGGTGGGGGAAGTGGCGGAAGAAGGAGACGGACTCGTCAAAGGTGACGTCACGGGAGTGAAAGAAGCGGTGAGACGGCGGGTAGTAGAAGTGCCAGTCAGACGCGTCAAGGGGGAAGCCGAGGAAGACACAGGGAAGGGTGCGGGCAGTGAGCTTGTCCGTGCCAGAGGCACGAACATGAGCAAGGCAGCCCCAGACGTGGAATACAGACGCGTCACCAGGTGACCCAGACTTGAGGAGGGTCGACGAAACCGGAGGCTGCTGGGGGTGCGGCCACAAGTTAAGCTGGTGAGTGGAGTAGCGAACGGCGAACGGCCACAGAAAATGGGGTGCCCCGCCATGGATCATGGAGATGCAAGCCACCTCCATGACCAAGCCGATGCGTCGCTCAGCGAACCCATTCTGCTGCGGGGAGTCCGGCAAGGTGAACGTCTGGGTGATGCCCTCTGTACGACAGAAAAGACCAAGGACAACAGAGGCAAACTCGCTACCACAGTCGGAGTGGAGACGGAAGACAGGGAGACCGCGGTGGACACGCGCAGAGACAATCCACGGGATGAGAATGTCAGGCACGTCGGCCTTCCACTCCAGAGGGAACACAGTGGTGTAGCGCGTGTAGTCGTCGACAAGGAAGTAGCGCTCTCGACGCGGCCCATGGACGGGGGCGGGGCCCCAGACGTCCATGTGCAGAGTCTGTAGCGGTGCTGCAGTAGGGGGAAACGATGAGGAGTGAGGAGCACGGTGGAGCCTACCCTATACACAAGGCGTGCAAGGTGGGGCTGGGGAGGAGGGGAACTCGGGGAACGACACGGGGAGGCCTAGGACGAGACCATGCTGTGACATGTGACGTAGACGCGGGAGCGCAGGGTGACCTAGGCGGCGGTGCCAGAGAAGAGTCGGGTGAGTGAGAGACCGACAAAAGCAGGCAGCAGCAACAGGGGGAGACGCAGTCACCTGAGGGGGGGTCCCAGCCGGGGGGGTCATGGTGTCTAGTGTGAAAAGACCAGACACCGTGTCCCGTGGGAACGTGGACAGGGGGGCACCAGTGGCGGCCTCGGTACAGACAGCGTACCGCTCGTGTCCTGGAAACGTAGTGGTGACGCCAAGGTCCTGAATGCAGCCGACACCAACTAGGTTCTTGGAGAACGAGGGGATGTGCAGTCCTGTGAGTGAGCCTGAAGGAACCGTCGGGCAGGGGAGGGTGGTGGAACTGCGGGCGACTACTGGGCCGGAGGAGGGATCAGCAAGAGAGACTGCGGCAGGGACAGGAAGTGGTGTCAACGTTGTGGAGTCGTGGAAGAAGCACTGGGAAGCGCCAGAGTCGAGGGTGAAGGAGAGCGCGGTAGTGGCGGCCGGAGGCGAAGCAGCGACGGAAGCACCAAGGCTAATCAAAGCAGGGGATCCTACGCCTGACTCAGCAGGGGAGGCTAAGCAAGGCACACCTACACTAGGCAACAAGGGGTAATAAGACGGAAGCACACTAGAGTCATCAGCATATATCACATACAGAGCAGTAACAATCTCATCCATATCCAGATAAAAAATATGAACCCTACGACGAAGCAGACTGTGCCAGTCTGGGAGCTCGGGCGACGGGCCGAAATGCTGACGAAACAGGTCGTCCAGGCAACGGAAACAGCGGACGGAGGTGTGACCGATCTTACCACAAATGAAGCCATGGCGAGGACCGGTCTGGAGCAGGTACTGACAGCGCGCGTCACCCGAACCACCACCCGGCAGCCCACCACGCGCACCACGATCACGTCCAGTGCTACCACCAGCGCAAGGCCACCCGGGCGGGAGACCACTCGCCCGTCTCTGCTGCGGCTGCGATTGTTGCGGCTGCTACGGGTGCTGCGGCTGACGCGAGTCCGGCTGCAACGCCGGCGGCTGCTAAGACGGCTGCTCGGCTGCACCTGGCAGGGTCCCCTCGTCCGCACCACCACCAGGAGACCCAGCTCCAGCACCACCTACACCTGCACCCCCACCCCCGCCGCCACGCCCAGCCTTGGGACGGACCTGTGCTGCAGCGGCAGTCTCAGCCACAGCAGCAGAAGCGTCGGAGAAGGTGCACTGGGCGGGGGCGCAACCCTGAAAGATAGGGACCGGCACAGTACCGCTGGTCTGGGCGATAGAGCGGTGGCGGGCCTCTATAGCGGACAGGGTGTCAACAAAGTCATTGAGGGTGAGGTCTGCGGGGTGGACGCTAAGGAATTGGTGACGGGTAGTGGCAAGACGGTCAGGGAGGCGGGTGGCTAGCAGGTAGAGAGTAGAGGTGAGGGGCGGCTGGTGGGCTAGAAGCTGTGTGGGAGTGCAGGCAGCACGCCAGGTCTCGTCTATAGTGCGCAGGTGAGCAGCCAAGTCGGCGACAGTGGGGAATGACGCAAGGTCAGGGAAGAGCATGGGGAGGATCAGACGACCGACCGAGGCAGCAGGCGGGGTGGAATAGCGCTGGACAGCAGCATCTAGGAAAGCTTGGGCAATGATGATAGACCTGAAGCGAGGTCGCTCGGACAAGGGGAGGGCATTGCTAATAGCCAGCTGTGCGACAGCGTCACGGGACAGCCATACAGAGCGAGCAAGGGCAGCGGCCGCAGCGGACTCACGCTCAGCGGACGAGGGATCAGTAGACAGTGCAGCGGGGGGGTCAGGGCACGGGAGAGTACCGTCAAGATGGACAGACAAAGAGTGGCCATCCTGCCGCTGACCAGTGAGGTGGCGACGGAGGTCAGCAAGCCACGCATCAAACTCAATCGGCTGGCCCTCAGCGTCAAAGCGAAGCACCTCCACCATCAGTGACAATAGAGGGCAATGGAGAGCAGTACAGTGCGGCATAGTGCGGTACAGTGCGGTGCAATGCGGTCCAGTGCTGTGCGGTGCGATGCAGTGCGGTGCAGTGCGGTACAGTGCGGTGCAGTGCGGTGCAGTGCGGTCCAGTACGGTGCGGTGCAGTGCGGTGAGGTGCGGTGCGGTACAGTGCGGTGCAGTGCAGTACAGTACAGTGCGGTGCAGTGCGGTGCAACGCGGTGCAGTGCGGTACAGTGCAGTGCAGTACGGTGCAGTGCGGTACAGTGCGGTGTAAGGCGTTTTAGTACGGTACCAGGGGGGTTCGAAGGGCGGTGCTGATCGGGAAGAACGGGCCGAACCCGAGGCGGGGGCGGGCTGGCGACGACGCGAATGCAGGAGCTGGCCGGCGGACGGCAGACGCGAGGGGCCAGCAAACGGCGGCAACGGGGGCTGGCGAGGAGCTGGCGCGACGGCGAGTAGGGCCGGCCACGACGGCGAGGAGACACGGCCGCGACGGCGGCCAGGGACAGCCGCGACGGTGGCTAGGGGCGGCCGCGACGGCAGGAGTGACCGTGAGGCGGCTGGAGACGGCAGCGACAGCAGCTAGGGGCGGCCGCGACGGCGAGGGGGCGGCCGTGAGACGGTTAGGGGCGGCCGTGGGATGGCAGGAAACGGGCGCGATGGCCAGGGGGGGGGGGGGGCGGCTAGGGACGAGCGCGACGGCCAGGGGGCCGGCTAGGGACGGGCGCGACGGCCAAGGGGCCGGCTAGGGGCGGACGCGACGGCCAGGGGGCCGGCTAGGGACGGGCGCGACGGCCAGGGGGCCGACTAGGGGCGGACGCGACGGCCAGGGGGCCGGCTAGGGGTGGACGCGATGGCCAGGGGGCCGGCTAGGGACGAGCGCGACGGCCAGGGGGCCGGCTAGGGACGAGCGCGACGGCCAGGGGACCGGCTAGGGACGAGCGCGACGGCCAGGGGGCCGGCTAGGGACGGGCGCGACGGCCAGGGGGCCGGCTAGGGACGGGCGCGACGGCCAGAGGGCCGGCTAGGGGCGGACGCGACGGCCAGGGGGCCGGCTAGGGGCGGACGCGACGGCCAGGGGGCCGGCTAGAGACGAGCGCGACGCCTAGGGGGCCGGCTAGGGACGAGCGCGACGGCCAGGGGGCTGGCTAGGGACGGTCGCGACGGCCAGGGGGGCCGGCTAGAGGCGGACGTGACGGCCAAGGGGCCGGCTAGGGGCGGACGCGACGGCCAGGGGGCCGGCTAGGGGCGGACGCGACGGCCAGGGGGGCGGCTAGGGACGAGCGCGACGGCCAGGAGGGCCGGCTAGGAGCGGGGCACGACGGTGGCTAGGGCCTAGGGGGCAGAACCGTGGGCGGGCTAGGGGGGAACCTAACCTACTATGATACCATATCAGAAAGAATAATTGAACTTGAATGTGTGAGTACAAGGGTATATAGACTAGGGTGTTGTACCCTCTAAGGCACAATCCAGTATAGTCTACAGTAACGACTTAAGTTGCATTTGTCAGAATACCCAACGCTCAAGGCCGCCAAATCCCCAAGGCTGTCCAGCGCCCAAGGCCGCCCAACGCTCAGCCACCCAGCGCTCAGCCACCCACCGCTCAAGACCGCCCACCACTCAAGAACGCCCACAGCTCAAGACCTCTCACCCTTGCCAAAGGACGGAATCCAGCCAGAAATTACTCTTAATTTCTCAACATTAAGGGAAACTACCCTTCTAGCAAGAAGAGGCCAGCATTCAACCATTCCCTGTGTAACAGTTTCATCCACCTTGGCAGCCTTGAGCGTTGGCATCCTATTCCCTAACATCTCCCCCCCCTCGCCCCACCAATCATTGCCCTACTCATGATCAGGCCAATGCAACCTAACAAAGTCTTAATCTATTACCTACTGTGGGACAATACCATTATACCACGTTCTTCGCAGCGAGTAGCTGAAGGGAGGATTGATGAAAGTAGGTAATCTAAAAGCCTACTCGTGTAGGCTGTAGCGCTAGTGAGATGTGACATCAACTTAAACCAACTGTTGCCTTGATCCTCAGATCAGAGCTACACCTGTTACGACTGCATCGGGGAGACCTCCAAGATAACATGATTCCCATCCTGCTCATCTTTCCTCAGAAGGGGCTCTGCTGTCTCTTGGCAATCAGCACGCACTGATATCGCAACATCATTACCTTGCGCTGTTGCACTAGGTCTTGGGAGAGAGCCAGTACCAGCACCGGCCGAAGCAGCATCTGCAGTAGCAGCAGGATTGGTGGTAGCCTTTGGCTTAACTCCTCCCTTACCACTCCCATTAATCTCCCCCTTCCTGCCCTCATCCCCACCCTCGTCCCCTTCCCCTTCCTCCTCTCCAACGGTCATCAGCCCTCCTCCTTCTGCCCGCGCCTTCCCCGCCTGCTCCTTAGCTTCCACAAGCACTCTCAGCACAGCAGCCATCTCCGGCCGTCCCCGGGTAGGCCGCACACACTGCAGCGCCACCTGCAGTATCCGTAGCAGCGCGGGCCCATCGTAGTCCTGGCCGAGCCGGCTGTCCGCTACAGCCACTACATCCCTCGCCTGCACGTACGGCCCCACCCAGTGAGAGATGTGCACGGGGGTTGAGTTCTCTCTTGCTGTTGCTGCAGCAGCAGCTGTTCCGTGGGTCGGTTTCTTTGCAGTCGCTCCCTTCTCTCCCCCCGTGCCTTTACCCCCAGCTGCTTTCCTGTCTTCTCCAGCACCAGCAGAACCAGCAGCACCAGCAGCACCAGCAGCACCAGCAGCACCAGCAGCACCAGCAGCACCGGCAGCACCAGCAGCAGCCTCTGCTGCTTTAGGGATTCCCCTTTCATTCGCCCCTGCTCTTCCCTGCCCGTCGTCTCCGTTCCCTCTAGCAGGGACTCTGCCTGCGAGCACGGGCGCCCCCTGACACGTCTTAAGGATAGCCTTCTGCCCTGTGAACAGCTCTAGCAGCACCACGCCAAAGCTGTACACATCCCCCTTAGTAGTCACCTTCGATGTTCGGTGATAGTCCGGGTCCAGGTAACCGGGTGTACCCGCCACTCGCGTAAACGCGGACGTTGCTGCTCCTGCTGCGTCCCCAGCTCCCAACATACTCTTGAGCAGGCCGAAGTCGCCCACTTTTACGTGCAAGTTTTGGTCCAGAAATATGTTATCGGGCTTTATATCGCGGTGCACTATAGGCGGGCTGACTGCCGTGTGCAAATAATGAAGCGCCTCTGCTGTTCCTATAGCGATGTCTAAGCGCTGGGCGAAAGTCAAATGGGGTCGAGACTTGGAAAGTGCAGACCCGAGAGATCCGTTAGCGGCAAGCTCATAAACGAGGATATACTCGCCCGCTTCCAAGCAGTAACCCAGCAGTCGCACGAGGTTCTTGTGCGACAGTCGCGAAATCAAAATCACCTCTTTTTCGAAATCGCGAGCGCCGGCCGAACCTTCCTTCAGAGGTCGTTTCGATCGCTTCACGGCCCAACCGACGTTCCCCGGTCCCCTCCCACGATACACCACTGCAAAACCCCCTTCGCCGAGAAAATTGCGCTGGTTAAACATCCCCGTCGCAGCGCGCACCTCTTCTAAAGACATCTTCCGAAACATCCCCGCTTTAAGCTGATCCTCCCAAGAGGGGCTCTTCTGCGGCTGCCTTCGCACGGATGGGGAAAGCTGCCCCGGCGGAGCGTTTCCTGCGGCGCCTCCGCCGGCGGCTCCCGCGGCGTTTCCTGCGGCAGCAGCTGCGCCCGCGGGTGCATGATAAGGGACGATTGCGCCTGGAGATTGCGGCGGGATTGCGCGCGCCCCCATCGCTGGAGAGCCTAGCGCAGGGGGCGTTGAGGGGTGCTTGCGCCGGTGATCGAGGGGAAACTGCGGCGGAGTGGTGCTCGGGGGAAGCGCCAGGTGCTGCGGACGGGGGGACGGGTACGCGGAGTTGACATGCGGGCTGGGGGGAGCGCGCGGAGTGTACGGGCTATTCGCTGCGGCCAAGCCGTTGACTCGCGGGGATGTAACCGGGCTGGATGCGCCCGTCGACGACGAAGGCTGCTTGATGTAACCAGCTTTCGCGGGAAGGAGCGGAGGGCGCGCGGAGGGGATTCCGCGGCGGCGGTGGAGACAGGAGAGGTAGACGACGCAGGAGACGAGCAGGGAAATGAAGAGGAAGGCGCCTCCGGCTATGGCGACGACCACTGCCAGTGGAAGTTCGAAGAATAAGAGCTTAATCATGGCTGCGAGCCAGTGGGAGCAGGGAAACAGATACGGTTTGACGGGAGTCAAGAACCGAGCTGGGTGGAATGTTGCGCACGTGACTGGTAAAAAATCACGAGGCTGGAGGGCTGTAGCCGGTGTACGAGAGGAATACGAGCTAACGTGGAGACGAATGGTTCTGTGGAGAAGCTGTGCCCAGCCGCCTGTGGCGGGCGAAACCTGCTAGCAGCAAGAGAAGCCGGTGGCCAAATGCGGCTGAAACCCGGAGGCGACGCTAGAAGCTTCGTGTGCTAGGGGAGCGGCAAGCCATTCCCGTGTCATACCCTGGCTGCGCCGTCATGAGACGTAATGATGCTGGGGTATAGTGAGACATGGCGCCGAGCATTGCCCTTGTTGGGGTTGGCTAAACGAGTTAGCGAAAGAGCGCAGTTCGGAGACCAGACTGGCTGGCTCTCTGCGGAGGACGTAAGATAAGGCGCTAAGGGAAGGGAGGCTAGGTAGCTATGAAAGGGCAGGATGGCGCGCTTGCATGTGACGTGATGACGACGACTTGTCGAAGAGAAGGGTGCGAGCGATGTTGGGCGGGGGGGGAAGGTGTGGTGGTAGTAGGCTGTGGCTTTGGTTTGGTGTGTGCGAGTCTGCTGCTCCTCACATGCAGGGGGTCTTCAACTCTTTGGTCCAGTGAGGGCAGGGGGACGCACGGATAGTGAGCAAGGAGGGCGTAGCGAGCGAGAGAAGAGAAAGGCTCGAATGGCGCAAGCGCGAGGCGCACATGTGAACCCGATGCGCCAAGCACAAATGGTGAAAGGGAGGGCCGTGCTCGAACTTGGATGGTTAGATTCGAAGGGGCCGATAGAGGGAGGAATCTACGCCGTACACCTGGGCCGTAAAGCCCAGCCACTTTCCGTAATCGCGACTCGTGGCTGGGGGCTGTGTTTTTACGGAGGGTGCGGGAAACAGGCTCGGGTACTGAAGGAACAGGTTTGATAGACGACACTTAGTCGAACTCAACTCATCAATACACAGATCTTTGAGTCGAACTCAGTGTGGCGAACCGCTAAGTGTAATCAATAATCCACGACACGCTATGCCGAACCTCCACGCAGTGTGGACGTGCCGCTTCCAAGGTTTTGTTTCGAGCCAATCATGCTGACTCGGCACGCCTCACCTTAGCGTTTCCACTATTATCCTGGCCGATCTTACAGTAATATGGAGTGGCGCTTATATTCATTAGCCAAACATGTGAGCGCCATAATGAAGCATGATTGCGATTTGGCATATTCGTCATTTATTAATCCTATGAATTAAAAACAAGCTCATCTCTTTCGAAATTGAGTTTCAATTTTCATTTCATATTTTTTTAACAACCATGAAGATAAAAGGGCAATATATATGGAGGGAGATGGTTATTAAAGATACTGCAAGGTAAATCTGAGGCTGAGTGTGAATGCAACACGAATGTAAGTATACTCGAGGGTCTTATAATCTGATACCTGAATTACATACCGTTATAGTTATGTATGCTGCCATTACTCCAGCCGTTTTGATCCAACCGTTCTGGAAGCCTCCAGTACGTACACACTGCGAGGTACTGTATCGGTTTTCTGCCTCCAACCTCACCGTTCTAAAGACCGACTGTATAGGTTCAAGAAGACGCTTCAGGTTTTACCAGGCAAATAGGGGCGAAAGGGCGACGAGGAAATAAGTAGATTATCGGCCATGGCAGGGCGTGGCAGAGGCCGCGAAATGACTCTTCCTGCCTGTAAGTTTCTTCGCCCCGTGATTCCTTTCCGCTAGTTGCTTCGTCCATAAATCGGTTGGCTCCGTTTTCTTTCTTCGTCCCTCATCGTTCCGGTTGCGCACATGCTCGCACGCTCCATCTCCCCTCTGATCTTTCCATGATATGTCTGAATATGCCATGCCATGCCATGCCATGCCGTGCCACACCTTACCGTGTTCCGTTCTCCCTCATCATCACGTCAGGGATGAAATCGGCAGGTGGCCCCCCTCCGGCTATCGGCGCGCTCCCCGAAAACCCCCCCGGACCCCCCGGACCCCCCGGCGCGGGTCCCTCCGCCCATTCCCCCACCTCCCCGTTCCCCCCGCATCGTCCACCCGGCTTTCCGTCGAACCCCGGCGCGCCGCCTTTTGCGCGGGGGCCCCCCGCGCACCCAGGTCCGGTATTGCCGTTCCCTGGCGGAATGCCCGTGCCTATTGCTCCCCCGCATCTGCAGCCGCCGCCGCCGCCGCCCAGACCGGGGGGAGGGCCGCCTAGGCCAATGCCGGGGATGCACGGGCCTGGTGCCGGACCTATTCCCGGACCTATTCCCGGACCTGGTTCCGGACCTCCTGGTCTGGATCCCCGTGGTTTGGGGCCTCCAGGATTGGTTCCTCCACGAGGGCCTATGGCGGGGGGCCCTATGGCTGGGGGACTTATGGGAGGAGGTGGGCCTATGGGGGGAGGAGGGCCTATGCGGGGCCCAATGATGGCGCGGCCAGGGTTTCCAATGATGCACCCCCCCCCTGGCGCGCAGGGTTTCCCGGGGGGCGCTCCCCCTGGCCCCCCTGGTCTCCCTGGTCCCCCGCCTGGTGCGCCGTTTGTGGGCGGACCTCCCCCGCAGGCAGGCGCGCCTGGGGGGGGAGGATATCCGCAGCAGTTTCCCCCACAGCTCATGCAGCAGCAGCAGATGGCGCAGGCGCAGCAACAGCAACCGCCTCCGCAGCATCAGCAGCAGGGGCAGCAGCAGCAGCAGCAGCAGCAGCAGCAGTTGGGGGGTGCAGGTATTTTGGGAAGAAGCAGCAGCAGCGGAGCAAGTGGGGGAAGTGGGGGAATCTTAGGTCCGGGGAAAGGGGTGGTGGTCGCAGTGGTGGAGGGCGGCGGGGCAGGGGGAGGGGGAGGCGCGGGGGGGCGCGGGGAAAACGGGGAGGGGGAAGCGGATGGCGGAAATAAGAGGAAGAAGTCTCGATGGGATATTGACGCTGCTGCCAGGGCGAATAATGCCGCTGATGGGGGCGCGGACGGGGAGGAAGGGGGGGAAGGGTGGGAAGGGGGGCGGAAAGACGGGCGGGGTTGCACTGGGGAGGCAGGAGGTGCTGCTGGAGCCAATGGGGGCGCGCCACGTGGACAGTGGGGGGGAGAAGAGGGAGTGGGGAGTGTGGGGAGAGGAGGGCTGGAAGAAGCTGTTCAGTTCGCCGTGCTGAAAGATCAGGTGAGGAAGGGAAGGGAGGGGAGGGAGGGGAGGGAGGGGAGGGAGGGGAGGAAGGGGAGGGAGGGGAGGGAGGGGAGGGAGGGGAGGGAGGGGTGGGGAGGGGAGGGAGGGGAGGGAGGGGAGGGAGGGGTGGGGAGGGGAAGGGAGGTTTACTTTGAATTTTCTCGAAATTCTCGAAATTCTCAAAATTCTCTGACAGGGAGGAGGGCTGGAAGAAGCTGTTCAGTTAGCAGTGCGAAAGGGGGGGGAGGAGAGCGGATGTGCGATAGGGCGAAAGGGAGGCTGAGAAGAGAGGGGGGATCAGGTGGGAGCTGGGTGGAGGAGAGGGGGGGAAGGGGATGGTTGGATGGAAGCTGGGTTATCATGTGGCGAAAGGGGGTGCGGTTTGGGGATGAGATAGAGGGCGCGGGTGCCAGGTTTGAATTTGTATCATCTGTTCTGTCTTCTTCCCTCCTCCCCTCCCTTTCTCCTCTGTTCCATCTCTCTCTTACCCTCACTACCTCCCTCGCTTCTTCTCCCTCGCCTCTCTCGTGGCCATGTGCCATTGTAACTGTCCCTCTCCCCCTCCGTCCAGCCATCCATTAATCCATCCACCCATCCACCTATCCACCGATCCACCGATCCACCCATCCACCCATCCACCCATCCACCCATCCACCCATCCACCCATCCACCCATCCACCCATCCACCCATCCACCCATCCACCCATCCACCCATCCACCCATCCACCCATCCACCCATCCACCCATCCACCCATCCACCCATCCATCCATCCACCCATCCACCCATCCACCCATCCACCCATCCACCCATCCACCCATCCACCCATCCACCCATCCACCCATCCACCCATCCACCCATCCACCCATCCTCTCCTAATCCCTTCTCCCATCTCCCTTGCCACCTCGAGCAGGAGGAGGCAGCTCAAGCGGCTCTGGCGCATGAGGCGAGGTGAGTCCTTCAGAAATGGTTTCCCAGCTTGGCTGTGCTCTCTACTTGCTGCTCTTCTCTGCTTTCTACCTAACCCCTCTTCTTTCCCTCTCTGCAGCACTGGCCAAGTCCGATCACCTTTTGAGGCGCCTCAAAATCCGCGTGATAGGAGTCTAGTTTTGAGGCGCCTCAAAACTACTTGTTGCTCTTCTCTGCTTTCTACCTACCCCCTCATCTTTCCCTCTGCGCACTGGCCAAGTGACTTTTGAGTCGACTCACAAGTCCGATCACCTTTGCCGCCACAGGTGTATCCTCGCTGCAAATGCCTGCTACCCCCTTCCATCTTCCCCCATTGCCACCATTTTCCGTCGTCCCTGCCCTCCGGTCTGCCACCGCCGTCCCTTCCCCACACCTCTTGTTTCAGCAACCGCCAAGCACCGGGTGATGTGGGCGCATCAGCCGACCCGCAGTCGCTGCTAGACTCCCGACACGACCCCACTGCTCTCAAGGTAATGCTGTCGAGGGATTTTTTTCAAGGTATTGCTCTCAGCGTCCTCCACCATCATCTCTTGGAATTGCGCTGTATCAAGGGTCTTCTCGGTGTGACTGACGGTGTGCCCCTTCGGTGCTGGTTCACTTCACTCTCAGGGGTAGTCTGTGACATGCTGAGCTGGCAAATCCCAGTTGCAAACGCCCGGAGACTGCCCTTGACAAAGGTCACATAAACGAATGGCTTTGTGCCACACGCTCTCCATTGAGCTGATCCCCCACTTGCCCCGTATCGTCATGGTATGCCATGGCATGGCATGGCATGGCATGGTGTTAAACGGCATTGCATGGCATGGCATGGCATGATGGTATCAGGGCAAGCTGCTACAGATGACAGCGGAGCACCGAGCAGAGGTGGCAGCAAAGCGGGGGGGGGGCACCGAGGCAAGCCACATGCAGCAGCAGCACGAGCACCAGGGCCAGCAGGGGCAGCAGGGGCAACAAGCCCGGCAGCAGCAGCAGCAGCAAGAGCACATGGACATAGGCAATGGGTACGGTGTGCCCGGTGGAAGCGCCACGGTGCCTCCACACGCTGCTCGGCGCCCCATGTTCTCCCTTGTGCCTGAACCCGTCTTCAACCACCACAGTAGAGGAACGCCCAACTCTGATCACCACCACCAACAGCAGCATCCGCAGGGCAGGGGCAGGGGCAGGGGCAGGATGGGGGGCAGCAGCTGCCGCAGCAGCAGGGGGGCAGGAAACAGGTCTCAGGCGAAGGAGAGGGGAAGGTGGGGGCAGGAGGGAACGAGGGAGGTGTGGCAGGAGGGGCATCAGGCGGAGGGGGAGGGGGAGGGGGAGGGGGAGGGGGAGGTGGGGTGTCGGCTCTGCCAGCTGCTCTGAGGGAGAGGCTGCGGGCTCGAGGCATTCTCAAGGAGGGTGGGGGCGCGGGGAAGAAAGATGCTGTAGCAGGCAGTAGTGCCGCTGCCTCTGCTGCTGCGACAGCAGAGCCTGCAGGCAACTCTGGCGCTGCTGCTGCTTCGTCGTCTCTTCCTCCTGGCTGGGTCTGTGCTTGTCAGTGCGGTGCAATGCTTTTCGCGCACACACACGTCCACCCCCCTCTTGCCCCCCTTTTCCCACCACCCCTTTCCTCCTAACTCACACACAGGCACACAGGCACGTTGCCTCCCCCCTCTCCCCCCCCCCTCATCCTCCCAAACAGAGGCAGAGCCTCATGTGGTCGGACAGACAGACCCCCCCTCCCCCGCTCCCCCATACCGCTCTCCCCCCCATCTTTCCCCCTGGATCCCCCTTTCCTCCCCAACCCACTCCCCCAGTACGAGGGAGTTGACAAGGCAACAGGTGTGAAGCCAGTGGGACGAGGCAACTGGTACAACGAGCACACGCGCGTGAGCCAGTGGGAGCTGCATGGGGTCTAACAGACCCCCCCTCCCCCCTCCCTCCTCCCTCCCCCCTCCCTCCTCCCTCCCCCCTCCCTCCTCCCTCCCCCCCACTCTCTTCCCCTACTTCCCCCCCTTCCCGAAACCCCTCTTCCAGTACGAGGGAGTAGACGAGGCAACGGGTGTGAAGTACTGGTACAACGAGCACACGGGCGTGAGCCAGTGGGAGCCCCCTGTGGTTGCGCCAAGGAGATCCATCCCCCCTCCGCCTCCACCGCCCGTGCTCGCTCCCCTCCCCCCGGGATGGGAGGAGACGGTTGACCCTGATTCAGGTGGGGAGGGGGGAGAGAGAGGGAGAGAAAGAGGGAGGGAGGGAAGAAGAGAGGGAGGGAGGGAGGGAGGGAGGGAGGGAGAGAGAGAGGGAGGGAGGGAGGGAGGGAGGGAGAGAGGGAGGGAGGGAGGGAGAGAGGGAGGGAGGGAGGGAGAGAGGGAGGGAGGGATGGAGGGGACTGCCACTATGTGTCCCTAGGACACTAGGCTTCCTCGGGACACTAGGCTTCCTCGGGACACTAGGCTTCCTCGGGACACTAGGCTTCCTCGGGACACTAGGCTTCCTCGGGACACTAGGCTTCCTCGGGACACTAGGCTTCCTCGGGACACTAGGCTTCCTCGGGACACTAGGCTTCCTCGGGACACTAGGCTTCCTCGGGACACTAGGCTTCCTCGGGACACTAGCCCTCGGGACACTAGGCTTCCTCGGGACACTAGGCTTCCTCGGGACACTAGGCTTCTCGGGACACTAGGCTTCCTCGGGACACTAGGCTTCCTCGGGACACTAGGCTTCCTCGGGACACAGCTTCCTCGGGACACTAGGCTTCCTCGGGACACTAGGCTTCCTCGGGACACTAGGCTTCCTCGGGACACTAGCTTCCTGGGACACTAGGCTTCCTCGGGACACTAGGCTTCCTCGGACACTAGGCTTCCTCGGGACACTAGGCTTCCTCGGGACACTAGGCTTCCTCGGGACACTAGGCTTCCTCGGGACACTAGGCTTCCTCGGGACACTAGGCTTCCTCGGGACACTAGGCTTCCTCGGGACCACCCCCTAGCTTCCTCGGGACACTAGGCTTCCTCGGACACTAGGCTTCCTCGGGACACTAGGCTTCCTCGGGACACTAGGCTTCCTCGGGACACTAGGCTTCCTCGGGACACTAGGCTTCCTCGGGACACTAGGCTTCCTCGGGACACTAGGCTTCCTCGGGACACTAGGCTTCCTCGGGCGGCCCGGGACACTAGGCTTCCTCGGACACTAGGCTTCCTCGGGACACTAGGCTTCCTCGGGACACTAGGCTTCCTCGGGACACTAGGCTTCCTCGGGACACTAGCTTCCTCGGGACACTAGGCTTCCTCGGGACACTAGGCTTCCTCGGGACACTAGGCTTCCTGGGACACTAGGCTTCCTCGGGACACTAGGCTTCCTCGGGACACTAGGCTTCCTCGGACACTAGGCTTCCTCGGGACACTAGGCTTCCTCGGGACACTAGGCTTCCTCGGGACACTAGGCTTCCTCGGGGACACTAGGCTTCCTCGGGACACTAGGCTTCCTCGGGACACTAGGCTTCCTCGGGACACTAGGCTTCCTCGGGACACTAGGCTTCCTCGGGACACTAGGCTTCCTCGGGACACTAGGCTTCCTCGGGACACTAGGCTTCCTCGGGACACTAGGCTTCCTCGGGACACTAGGCTTCCTCGGGGACACTAGGCTTCCTCGGAACAGCTTCCGGGACACTAGGCTTCCTCGGGACACTAGGCTTCCTCGGGACACTAGGCTTCCTCGGGACACTAGGCTTCCTCGGGACACTAGGCTTCCTCGGACACTAGGCTTCCTCGGGACACTAGGCTTCCTCGGGACACTAGGCTTCCTCGGACACTAGGCTTCCTCGGGACACTAGGCTTCCTCGGGACACTAGGCTTCCTCGGGACACTAGGCTTCCTCGGGACACTAGGCTTCCTGGGGACACTAGGCTTCCTCGGGACACTAGGCTTCCTGGGGACACTAGGCTTCCTCGGGACACTAGGCTTCCTCGGGACACTAGGCTTCCTCGGGACACTAGGCTTCCTCGGGGACACTAGGCTTCCTCGGGACACTAGGCTTCCTCGGGACACTAGGCTTCCTCGGACACTAGGCTTCTCCCTCGGGACACTAGGCTTCCTCGGGACACTAGGCTTCCTCGGGACACTAGGCTTCCTCGGGACACTAGGCTTCCTCGGGACACTAGGCTTCCTCGGGACACTAGGCTTCCTCGGGACACTAGGCTTCCTCGGGACACTAGGCTTACTCCCTCGGGACACTAGGCTTCCTCGGGACACTAGGCTTCCTCGGGACACTAGGCTTCCTCGGGACACTAGGCTTCCTCGGGACACTAGGCTTCCTCGGGACACTAGGCTTCCTCGGGACACTAGGCTTCCTCGGGACACTAGGCTTCCTCGGGACACTAGGCTTCCTCACACTAGGCTTCCTCGGGACACTAGGCTTCCTCGGGACACTAGGCTTCCTCGGGACACTAGGCTTCCTCGGGACACTAGGCTTCCTCGGGACACTAGGCTTCCTCGGGACACTAGGCTTCCTCGGGACACTAGGCTTCCTCGGGACACTAGGCTTCCTCGGGACACTAGGCTTCCCGGGACACTAGGCTTCCTCGGGACACTAGGCTTCCCCTCTTCCTCCCTTTCTCCCTCCCTTTCCTCCCTTTCTCCCTTCTCCCTTTCTCCTTCTCCCCTCCCTCCTCCCTTCCTCCCTTCCTCCCTTCCTCCCTTCCTCCCTTCCTCCCTTCCTCCCTTCCTCCCTCTCTCCCTCTCTCCCTCTCTCCCTCTCTCCCTCTCTCCCTCTCTCCCTCTCTCCCTCTCTCCCTCTCTCCCTCTCTCCCTCTCTCCCTCTCTCCCTCTCTCCCTCTCTCCCTCTCTCCCTTCCTCCCTCCCTTTCTCCCTTCCTCCCTTCCTCCATTCCTCCCTTCTGTAAGAGTGGTTCGCCGCTGCACCGACGTCGACACACGGAAAGTCGGTCATAAGGCGAAGTTTTTGGCGGAATACTAGGACAGATCTTAGCTGGTTGAGATCTAAGGGACGGTGGAACGTACGGGTAAGATAAGGGTTGGAAGATGGAGAAAATCGGATGGACGGAGGAACCAGGGAAGAGAAAACGTTGAGAACGTTCAGTTCAGCCAGAAAAGTCCAACCAAACTTAGGTCGTATTCGGCGGAATGTCGGAGGGTCGGTGTCACCGACAGTGTCGGTTACCGAAATCGGTTCCGCCCAAGATTCGGACTAAACGCGCGAGACGCGTTACACGATTCGCCCTTTACATTTCTGCATGCTTCTATGTTCTTGTTCTGTTTTTCGTTTGTAACCACTTTTTGGAGTGAAACTTTCTGGTTGAACTTTGAGCTGAAAAGCACCCTGCTCTCCTGCACTTCTCAGATCAAGTTTGGTTTTTCCGCTGCGTTCTTGGGGACCTAGCGAATAGCCAGAGGCTCTCGCTCCCCAAGTCTAACACCTTCCTCCCTTTCTCCCTTCCTCCCTTCCTCCCTTCCTCCCTTCCTCCCTTCCTCCCTTCCTCCCTTCCTCCCTTCCTCCCTTCCTCCCTTCCTCCCTTCCTCCCTTCCTCCCTTCCTCCCTTCCTCCCTTCCTCCCTTCCTCCCTTCCTCCCTTCCTCCCTTCCTCCCTTCTCCCTTTCTCCCTTTCTCCCTTTCTCCCTTTCTCCCTTTCTCCCTTTCTCCCTTTCTCCCTTTCTCCCTTTCTCCCTTTCTCCCTTTCTCCCCTTCTCCCTTTCTCCCTTTCTCCCCTTCTCCCTTTCTCCCCTTCTCCCTTTCTCCCTTTCTCCCTTTCTCCCTTTCTCCCTTTCTCCCCTTCTCCCTTTCTCCCCTTCTCCCTTTCTCCCTTTCTCCCTTTGTATAATCCCCTTCCCTTCTGTTTCAATACCCCAGGCCACAAGTACTTCTACAACGCGGCCACCAATGAGACCAGCTGGGAAAGGCCCAAGGCGCCGGCAGGCACGGGGGGGCCAGCAGAGGGGAGAGGCGGAGGGGGGGTTGGGGAGGCGAACGGGAATGATGCTAGTAGCAGTGGCACTGCTAGTGTGATGAAGTTCAAGCGGTGTGCGGGGTGCCAGGGGTGGGGTCGAGGCGTGGTGCAATCGTGGGGCTACTGCAACCACTGCACCAGGTGAGAAGACCCCACTTCCCTCTTCCACCCCCGCCCCACCATGTTTGAGTCGACTGCAAAGTACAAGTCATTCTGAGTCGACTCAAAGGGCGTGGTGCAATTTTAGGGCTACTGCAACCACTGCACCAGGTGGACAAGACTCCTCCCCATCCTCTTCTTTGCTGCTCCTCGTGATAATAGTCTAGTTTTGAGGCGTCTCAAAACTTGCATCAGGTGGAAAAGACTCCCACTGCTTGCTCCTCCTCTTGCGTTTCCTCCTTGCTTGGACCTTCCTTCCTTCCCCCCCCCCCCATCTTCCCCACCCCTCCCCCTTTCCAGCCCGTCTATCTCTTTGTAGTTCCTCCTCCTCCTCCTCCTGAGTTTTCTATACCCAGACTTGTCAAACACGTGCACAGTCACTGCACCCCCCTTTCCTGTTGGCCATTTTCATGCTTCCTGTCTCTCTTCCCCTTCCCTCCACTCCCCTCCTCCCCCATCCCCCCCCCCCCCCCCCCCCCCCCCTCCCCTTCCCCCCTTCCCTTTGCTCTCTTCCTCCGTTTATCTCCTCCCCCCCGGCCCCCAAAACACACACAGGGGGCTTGGCATAGTGGTGCCCCCTTAGCCAAAAAGGCAGCAGCGGTGGCTTTTGAGGAGCCTCAAAAGTTGTCTTTCTCTCCTTCCCCCCCCAAAAAAACCCACACTCAGGGAGCTTGGCATAGTGGTGCCCCCTGGCGCAGCCAAAAAGGCGGCGGCGGCAGCGGCGGCAGCAGCAACAGGAGGAGGGGCGGTGGGAGGACTGGGGGATGAAAGGGAGGGAGGGGGAGGACCAAGAGCAGAGCCTAAGAGCAGGTGAGCACTCAACCGTTGTGCACATGGGTGCATACGGGTGCACATGGGTGCACATGGGTGCACATGGGTGGACCTCCTTGAGCCTCACTGGTGGCGACATAAATACATACATACATACATACATACATACATACATACATACATACATACATACATACATACATACATACATACATACATACATACATACATACATACATACATACATACATACATACATACATACATACATACATACATACATACATACATACATACATACATACATACATACATGCATGCATGCATGCATACATACATACATACATACATACATACATGCACATATGGTCATGCGGTCTAAGAACGTTAACGTGACCGAAGGGTGTTGACATGACTCAAGAATGTTGACATGAGTATGGTCCTCAAATTTAATTGGGAAGTTGAGTGGGGTTATGGCTGGGTACGCAGTCTTGCTTGCGGCGAGTCATCCCTGACTTGCTTATCATCCTCCCACCTTTTCCAATACCCCCTCTCCGCGATTGGCGGATTCCCTTCCCCCTTCTCCCCATCCCGTTTCCCTCTTCTCCCCCCTCCCTCCCACGCCCGAACCTGCTCTCAGGCTCGGCGGTCCCCCCAGGCCCGGCGCCCACTCAGCAGCGCGCAAGGTGCAGCGGAAGCGAGCAGCAGCAGCTGTGACAGCAGCAGCGGCGGACGACAAGGATGAGGTGGATCCCATGGACCCCTCGTCGTACTCGGATGCCCCGCGGGGCGGATGGTGAGTGGATTTAGTAGGGACATGTGCTGTAGAGGGCTAGAGGTATGGTTGATGGTGATGGTGATGGTGGTGACAAGAGGGATGAGGTGAATCTTATGGGCCCCGCCTCATTGTTCTCAGATGCCCCCCGGGGCGGCTGGTGAGTGGAGGATTAGAGGTTAAGAAGTGAGCTCATTCTATGGATTGTTCAGATTGTTTGGGTCAAAGTGGCATGACCAGTGAGAGGGGGGACTATGAGTGAGAGGATGGAGTGTGAGTGAGCGTTTGTTACAATCTCCATGCTTCCCTGCCATGTCCTCACTTGTCTAGTCCCTCCCCCTCCCTCCCTCCCTTCCTCCCTCCCTGTGCATCTATTTCCGATGGCCCCTCTCTCTCTCTCTCTCTCTCTCTCTCTCTCTCTCTCTCTCTCTCTCTCTCTCTCTCTCTCTCTCTCTCTCTCTCTCTCTCTCTCTCTCTCTCTCTCTCTCTCTCTCGCCAGGGCGGTTGGGCTCAAGGGGGTGCAGCCGCGAGCAGCAGACACAACTGCAACGGTACGCCTTGCCTCATCATGCTCACATCATGCACCCTTTTCCTCTTACATCAGCTTTTGAGTCGGCTCCAAAGCGTCACCACATGCATCATGCACCATTTTTCTCGTACGTCATTTGAGTCCAGGGTTTTGAGTCAACTCAAAAAAATACCTTTTCTCAGACATCAAAAGTCGAGGTTTTCTTTTTCACTTCGTTTTCTCACCCTCCCACTCCCATGGCTCACCTGTATCTATGGTTTTTAATCGCTCACCCCCCCTCCCCATTTCCCCCCCCCCCTCACCCTTTCCTTCCCTATCCCAGGGCCCCTTGTTCCAGCAGCGCCCATACCCCCTTGCCCCTACCACAGCTATTCTCCACATTCTTGTCCCCTTCCCCCGTCCCCCTGCCGTCTCCCCCCTTCCCTATCCCAGGGCCCCTTGTTCCAGCAGCGCCCCTACCCCTCCCCCAGGGCTGTTCTCCACAGTCTTGTCCCCTTCCCCCGCCCCCACCCCCTCCTCCATCACCACTGTCCCCCCTTCCCCTGCTGTCTGCCCCGTTCACCACCCCCAGGGCCCCTTGTTCCAGCAGCGCCCCTACCCCTCCCCGGGGGCTGTTCTCCGGCGTAACGCCGAGTTGTCTGGGGCAGGGGGAGCAGGCAAGGGTGGCAAGGCAGGGCCGGCGGTGCAGGGCTACGCAGTGATCCGCAAGCGTGGAGATGGTAGCGATGGGCTGGGCGATGCGGATTAGGCAGCCGTCTCTCGGGAGGAGGGCGCAGGAGGGCGGAGCAGCAATGCAGGGAAGGGAAGGGCTATGCGGTGATCCGCAAGCGCGGAGATGGGAGTGATGGACTGGGCGATGCGGATAAGGCAATTGTTTCTTTTGAGGGTGGAGGAGGGTGGAGGAGGGTGGAGGAGGGCGGAGGAGGGCGGAGCAGCAACGCATGGCAGGGCTATATGGGGATCTGCAAGTGCGGCAACGGCAGCGATGGGCTGGGCGATGCGGAAAAGGTAGCCGTTTCTTTCAGTGGGGAAGGTCCCAGGGTAGGGCGGGCGGGCCCTCCGGTGCAGGGCGTGGCGATGTAGCCATACACCCATGTGCAATCGGGGTGATGGTGCGGTAGCGATGAGCTGAGCGATGCGGATTAGGCAATTGTTTCTTGGGAAGGTGGAGCAGCAGCAGCTGCAGCAATGCGTTTATGTGGGATTCCAAGGCTGAATGTGGAGCTGGAGCTGGGATCAGGGATGTGCAGGCAGTGGCAAGGCAATGGTAGTGATGGATTGGGCCATGCTGCTGATTGGCTTGAGAGGAGAGGGTAACAGCACAGAGGGTGGCCTGGCCAAGCCAGCCAGTAGAGTCTAGCTGTTGGTTGGGCTGGGCGACGGGGGCATCCTCCTCGCCCTGGGATTAGCCAGCATATGGTAGAAAGTGGTATGTGAATTAACCATTGGGCTCCTGTTTTGCTCGTAACAAGCTCAAGAGAGGAGATGGCGTGCAGTTGAGTGAGACGCATGCGTAAGGGAATGCTTCAATGTATTGCGCCAAGGTACAGGCAGTTTGGAGTGTACATCCTATGGATGAGGTATGGTGGGTTGGATGAATTTGTTTTATATACCGTAATTGGGGTACGGCACTGTAAGTACCACCACCGGTACTAGGTTTGTAGTGGTGTACTCTCCCCGCATCTCCGCAAACACGAATCACCGCTTTTGAGTACAAACATTCCCTCCCCCGATTTCTCCCCAACCCGCAGCGCGACCCCCCTCAGTTCCCCGCTTGGACGGCGGTGGGAATCTTTTACTCCCAGATACCTCCCAGAAATCTACAATCTAGAATCTACATCCTAGAATCTAGAGTCGAGAATCTAGAATCTAGGCATTGTACCTTTCTTCCCAGGGACCAGTCTTTCATTCTCCCAGGTCACTACAGTCTCGCCGTCCTCCCACTGTAACCAATATCTCTTGTCTTCGTCTTCACTACATTATCGTCGGTGGATATCAGCACAGCTGCAACTCGCCTCGCCACCGCCGCGCGCGCTAGCGCTCTCCCGGCTTCTCCCGACCATGGCTGCCACGTCGTGCGCGGGGGTCGTGCCGTCCGCCTCGCGAGTCGCCGCCGTCGTCGGCGGGGGGGATCGCGGTCTCGCGAGCAGCCGCGTCGCGCCTCGCCCTCGCGTCCTCGCGACCCGCCGATTCTCCAGATCCGCTAGCGCACTGCGGAGTGACTTGTGGGGAGGCGACAAGCAGGTGAGCATGGAAGACAGACGGGGATCCCTGTTATGATGTGACTGACCAGAATGACGGAGAGGAGGGATGAGGAGGATGGAGAGGCGGAGGCGACAAGCAGGTGAGAACGACGGGAATGACCTTGGAGCGACGACTTGCCATGAGGGATGACGGAATAGAGCGGAGGAGGCGACTAGCAGGTGAGAATCAACGCAGGCCGGGATGGAGTGGAGGAGGGAAAGAAGGGACTTTGAGCCAAGGTGGGAATGCGGGGATGGTAGGATAGACGGCTGGTTGTGTGTTGCGGGTGGCACTCCGCGTATTGCGGCCTGGTTCTGGGTTGCGGTCTCGATTCTCTTCTCGAATGTTCCCTTCGATCCAAGTATCGGTCATCGTAGTTCCGCGGCATCCGGCAAGCATGCCATTGACCGATCCCTTCATCGCCTTCCCGATCCCAACTTTCCACTCCTCAACCTTCCTCTCTTCCTCCCTTCTCCCCCCCCCCAACCCCCCCCCCCCCCCCCCCCCCCCCCCCACAACCAGCAGCTACCCACCCCCGTCGCCGCCTCTCCCCGCCGCCACGGCGCCTCCTCCGCCTCCCCACGCGCGTCCGCAAACTCTCCGCCCACGGTCGCCGCCACTTCCGTTTCTGCCGACACCATCCCGCTGCTGACGCCGTACCAGATGGGCCCCTTCTCCCTGACCAACCGCGTTGTCCTCGCGCCCATGACGCGCTGCCGCGCGCTGGGGTTCGTTCCGCAGCCCGCCGCCGCGGAGTACTACGCGCAGCGCGCGGTGCCGGGGCAGCTGCTGATCGCGGAAGGGACCGTTGTGGCGCAGGAAGGAATCGGGTGAGTCCGTCCAGGTGGTGCTTTTGAGGTGAGCCTCGATAACTACGCGCGGCGCTCGGTGCCGGGTTTTGAGACGTGACGTCTCGGTTCGGCACTCGGGTGCCGGGGCAGCTGCTGGTCGCGGAAGGGACCGTTGTGGCGCAGGAAGGAATCGGGAGAGTCCAGGTGGCGGGCATCGCGGACTCATGCGCGGCCATTACGCGTGATGGTACTCGTTTCGTCAGTTCTGTTCTGGATTTCTGTTATTCGCTGTTCGTGACGGTTGAAAGCGGACTGGTGCGGTGAGCAGCAGGTGGTGAGGTGTGGAGGCTGATTGGAAGGGGCCCTCCCCTGCGCTCGTCTCGTCGCAGGTGGGGAGTGGGCTGACTCAAATCGGCTTGGAAGGAAGGCGCCCCGCCCGCCACAACCTCGGGTCGTGCACTCCCAGCGTTCGTCGCTGCTCGCGTTCACCTGAAATTCATCTGAGCTTCGCCTGAAATTCGCCTGAAATCCACCTGAAATCCGCCTGAAATTCGCCTGAAATCTGCCTGGGATTCTTCCCACCCCCCAACTGGCAGGTACCCGAACGTGCCAGAGCTGTACACGCGCGAGCAGGAGGAGGCGTGGATCTGCTTCGTTTAGTCGACTCAGACGCGACGCCTGCCATCTTCCCTTCCCACTTCTCATCTCAGGTACCCGAACGTGCCGGGAATCCACACGCGCGAGCAGGTGGAGGCGTCCTAACCTCCCCCCCACACACGCCACCACTCTCCACCACATTGCACACCCTGCCCCGCTGCCTGGCAGGTACCCGAACGTGCCGGGAATATACACGCGCGAGCAGGTGGAGGCGTGGAAGCCCATAGTGAAGGCCGTCAAGGCCAAGGGCGGCGTCTTCTTCTGCCAGCTCTGGCACGCCGGCAGGGCCTCGCACCCGGGTGAGCGGGAGTGAGAGCAAGTGCGGGAGGGAGAGCGAGAGCGGGAGTGAGAGCAAGTGCGGGAGGGAGAGCGAGAGCGGGAGTGAGAGCAAGTGCGGGAGGGAGAGCGAGAGCGGGAGTGAAAGCGTGAGTGAGAGTGAATTGACTGTTGGCGGGGGCCGCCTCCAACCAGCCAGCCATGGCCGCTCGGCGCTGACCGCGGTGGGCTTCGTCTGGACCGCTGACGACGCCTGCTTCGCCGCACCTGAGGCTCCCCAACAACGGCTGGGATTCCCCCCAAAAAATGCCCTCGTTCCATGTCTCCCCGCCCCTCTTCCTTGCAGGGCCCGCAACACCCCCCCCCCCCCCCCTCTCCCACCCCGTCTCCCCACTTCCCTCCCCTCGCCTCACCCCCTCCTTCCCCGCGACGACCCCCTGCAACCCCTTAACTTTCCTTTCTCCCTTCCTACTCCCCCCCCCAGACTTCCAGCCGGGTGGCGCCCTGCCCGTAGCCCCGTCAGCCATTCCGATCTCCTCCGGCGACAAGGTGTACACGCAGACGGGCGCGCACGACTACCCCACGCCGCGCGCCATGACTGAGGCGGACATCCGCGCCGCCGTGCAGCAGTTCCGCATGGCGGCGCGCCACGCCATGGAGGCGGGGTTCGACGGCGTGGAGATCCACGGGGCGAATGGGTACCTCATAGAAGAGTTCATCAAGGTGGGGGGGGGCGGGGGGGTGGGGGGGGCGGGGGGTGGGGGGGAGGGGGACGAAGCAAGGTGCACGGTGGGATCAGGGTTCGAGCATTCCCAATGGAGGTGGGGGGGATGGGGGGGGGGGGGGGGTGGGTCTGGGCGCGGGAGCAGGGATCAGCGGCGTGTAGGCAGGTCACGCAGCAGCTCTAGGTAGGGGCGCGCCACGCCATGGAGGCGGGGTTCGACGGCGTGGAGCTGCACGGAGCGAATGGGTACCTCATAGAAGAGTTCATCAAGGTGGGGGGTGAAGGGGGAAGGGGGGAGGGGGGAGGAGGAAGGGAGAAGGGGGAAGGGGGCTGGGGAGTGGAGAATGGGAGGGGTCAGGTGAGCGTGTAGGCTGGTTATACAGGAGTTCTAGGGGGAGGCGCAAGTCGGGGCTTGATGGCGTGGATCTGCACAGGGCCAATGGGTACCTCATAGAGCAGTTCGTCCAGGTGGGAGGTGGGGGGGGGTGGGGGGAGAAGGAGGGGGGTGGGTGGGTGGGGAGAAGGAGGGGGGGGGGAGGGAGTGGGGTGGGAGAAGGGTGGGGTGGTTGAGGTAGGGGTAGAAGTGGTGGTTAGGGTGAGAGCAGTGATATGGGGCTTAACGGGGTTGAGTGGAGCTGCACACGGCCAATGGGTACCAGGTCGTATCCGATCTCGACCCTCTCTCACCCCCCCTCCACCAGGTCGTGTCTGCAGTGGCCAAGGAGATCGGCCCTCTGCACATGGGTGTGCGCCTGGCTCCATCCCCAACCATCCTCCCCCCTTCTTCTCCCTCAACCGCCCTTCTCAACCCCTTCCCCTGCCTCGCTTCCCCCACCCCCCATCCCCAGGACGGCACCAACAAGCGCACGGACCGGTACGGCGGGTCCATCCCCAACCGCGTGCGTTTCCTGGTGGAGGTCGCGTCCGCCGTGGTCGAGGAGATCGGCCCGTTGCGCACGGGCGTGCGCCTGGCGCCCTTCTCGACCTTCCTGTCGTCCGCAGACTCCACCCCCGTGCCCACCTACGTGCACGCCACGCAGTGCATGAACGACCTGGGGCTGCTCTACGTGCACATGCTGGAAGCACGGATCGACCGCGAGGGCGAGGCGGTTACGGGCAGGGAGGTGAGCTTGAGACGTCTCACAACTCGTGCACGCCACGCCGTGCAGGAATGATTTAGGGCTGCTGTACCTGCACATGCTGGAGGCCAGGATCGACCGTGAGGGCAAGGCGGTTACGGGCAAGGAGGTTAGTGAATGGTCTGGGTGGAAGGGAGGGATTGGGGGGGGGAGGGGGTGGAGTTGGGTAGGGATGTGCCTCTCTTTCACCCCCGTGCCCACCTACATGCACGCCACACAGTGCTGGAATGATCTGCGGCTGCTGTATGTACACATGCTGGAGGCCAGGATTGACTGCGAGGGCGAGGCGGTTACGGGCGAGGAGGTGAGTGGGTGAGTGTGGGTGTGGGTGTGGGTGTGGGTGTGGGTGTGAGGGGGGAGAGGAATGGCGGCATGCCCACATACGCGCACACCGCACAGAAGACAAACGGTTTGGGTCACATGTGGGTAGATGAACAGTAGATGCACGTCATCAGAGCCGGGCTTACATGTGTGTCACTCTTGGCTTTGAGGCATGAACGACCTACTAGTGTAACCTGCTCCATCTCCCCACCCCTCTGCACACTCTTTTCTTCCCAACTCTGCCCTCACATTTTGCGCTCCCTGTTGAATCCTCTCCTTCCAGTCCTTAGAGCCCTTCCGCCGGGTCTTCAGCAACACCTTTATCGCAGCGGGTGGATACACGGTGAGCAAGGGGAGCCTTTCCCCCGGACGGAAGGGGAAGAGGGGGGGGGGGGGGGGGGAGGGGGAGTGTTGTGGCAGGTTAGGGAAGTAAGTAGTAAGTGGTCGCCACTAGTGACTCGTGTGTGACATTGAAGTGAGGACCTGCTTATCCATCATCATGATATGTGCAGTTGCTGCCACAGGGCCTGCATTGCTCTGCATGCATAGCTGAGCTGCTCCGGAGCTACGGTAGCTTCTCTAGTATTTAGTATTTTCATGTCTTAGCATCCCACTACTCTCCCTCCCTCCCCCACTTCTCTTCCCTCCTCCCCCCCCCCCCTCCCCCATGTCATCAGCGCGAGTCTGGAAATGCTGCCATTGCAAGTGGGGCAGCTGACCTGGTGGCTTATGGTCGTCGTTTCCTGGCCAATCCCGACCTGCCACGTCGGTTCGCGCTGGATGCTCCACTAAATCCTTATGACAGGGACACCTTCTACACCTTTGACCAAGTCAAGGGTTACACAGATTATCCGTCCTTGGAGGATGAGGCCTCCAAATGAGCAGTGCTTTTGAATATCTTTGACCCTGGAATTACTTGTACCTCGACACACCTGTTTTATACAAACTGAGCAAAGGTTGATAGTATACACTGTTTGGCGTGTATCTGTATGAACCAGGGCCTACTTTTGGATTTTTACTACTCTAATATTGGGGAGTTGCATTTAGCATTACTCTGAAAATCAGAGTGCATCCTCATAGTTTCACTGATTTGCCAGGGTTTTTTTCCATTTTGAAAAATTTACACTGATAGTGCAGAGGGGAAATTTCCACAACTCTGTGCTGCTGTTATGCACCCTGACAAAGGTTTTGTGATAGACGGATAGACGTACGTTTCATTTCAAATACACATACATACATTAGTCACCATGCTCATCCTCGTCTCCCTCTGAGGCACTCTCACAAGAGCCACTATCCTCCTCTGACTCATCATGCTCCTTGCCCTTGGCAGCATCGCTGCTCCTCTCATAAGCCACCACTTTTGCCTGTCTGCGGTTCTTCTGGCGTCTCCAGATCTCCACGATCTCAGGGTAGTCCATGTCGTACTCCAGGAGGCTAATGGTCATCAGGTCGCCGAGTCTTGCATCACACAGGCTCGTCCTCAGCCAGCTCTTGACGGCGTTCTGCCTGCTGAAACCGCGCTCGCACTCGACGGTGCTCAAGGGCAGAACCGCCATCGCCTGCCAGATCCTCATGAGATTCGGATAGCTCTTGGCCCAGTCCCTCGTCTTCAGCATGTTGGCGAGGCCTTGGCCGAAGTCGTCATCAGCACAGTGCGTCTTCATGATGTGACAGAAAGTCTTTAACTCCAGCTCAGCTGCTCGACCATCCACTCCTGTGGAAGCGCTCGGGCGGGATTTGAGATATGGAAAGCAAAAACATCGATTAAGAACTATGGTGGTGTTGCCACCATTATTTAAAACATGGATACTTGGATCTGCATATAGCGAGACGACATTGTGAGTGCTAGGGATACGTGCATGGAGGGACCGAAAACATACATACCAGGAAGCTTGTTGTCAAACAGCTCCAGGTTCGACTTGACCCAAGTGCGCGCTCTTCGTTCCCGCACTTCCTGCTTCTTCGGCCATGTGTCCACCTTGTACAGCTTCGACCCGGCCATCCGCTTCAGGTCCCACATCCTCTGGTTCAGGTTCTGCACGGTGTCTTCAGCAAAGGCGGTGCACAGCGTGATGCAGGCCGCCTTGGTGCCACCGTACTTGTGACCGGGCAGGGAGCTCTCCACGAGCTTGAAACTGTGCGAAACCGGGCGCCCGTCGTCATCCGCGCCGTGCACCACCACCTTGCCTCCATTCTCGTCATAGCTCTGCAGAAACTTGCTGAGCCGCTTGCTCAGCCCCGCGCCGAAGGTCTCGCCATACTCCACGTAGCGATGCTTGATGTACGTGACGGTGCGGTCGACCTCCTGTGAGACAAGGGTGATGTCGACCTGATGTGAGGGGGGGGTAATAAAAGCAGTGACAAGATGCGAAGAAGATAAGTTATTGTCGAAATTGAAGAAAGACCACAATCCAACACATGACAACAGGCAACCGACGGCATGAAACACAGAGACCAACGGGATATGGGACAAAAACATACTGACCGCTTCTGGAAAAACCTGTTGAGCGTGTTGAGCTCAGCGAGGATGTCAGCCAGAAAGTATAGACAGAAGTGGAACTTCTGCGTTTTGACCACTGGAACCAGCTTGTGGTTGTACTCAATGAGCACAGCGATTACAGCGCCGAGGACCCTGCAGAGTCGATTTACGGCATCTCCACGAGAAAGCCACCGGATGTTGAAGAGCCCTTGGTGCTCGAGGTTCGTGTTGTGGATGATCAGCTGGAGCTCCTTGAACCTCTCGTACCACGGTGTTGAACGCCCAACAATCTCGCCGAAGCCATGGATGACGATGTCGATGATCCAGAGGTCGGGGAAGGCGCTGGCCGCATCCTTCACTGCAAGAGCCTCACTGCGAGATACGAAGAATCATGCAAGGTCGAGCAAGTAGCATGGATAACAAATAGTCCGACATGCATTGCATGCGAGGAAACGGACTCAATCCGTCGGGGCTGCAAGGGGGAAGACAAGTGTGGCTCAACCTGCATGAGCTCACCGATGTGCAATACAGTGACAGCCAACGAGATGCGGAATGCGCACCCGAAGACGCGCTACCAGACCGTTGTGCTCTCCTGTCATGACAGACGCCCCATCCGTGCTGATGCCCGCCACCTTGTGAAGTTCGATGCCGCAAGAGTCTAGGTGCCCGAGTAATGCCGTCTGCAGAGCTGCTGCGTCGCACTTGTCGAGAGAAAGCAGCGTCAGGAACTCTGTGACGACTCGCCGCTTTTTCAGGAACGTCGCGAAGACGATGAGATGTTTGCCACGGGTTCTGTCAGTTGACTCGTCGCAGCTCAATCCGATGAAGGGTGATGCGTGGATATGCTGCATCTGCTGTGCTTTCAAGTACGCCACCATTGCGCGCACCATTTCCTTGAAGCCGTATCTGCACTTGGAAGGGCATGGAAAAGCCGGAAGTAACTCGATGATTGATACGACAGCGGAGCAGTCGCAATTTCACCAAGAAATAGTACCAAAAATCATGAGGCACCCCGGTACTTACTGCGTGATGTAGACGCCATAAGTCTGCTTTGGAATGTCCTCGACACCCTCCTCTGCCATGAACCCGACGAGCCGCGTGAACATGGCGATCGGGGCATCCTCCTTGCATATGAACAGCATAGTTCGAAGTAGACGAATGATCCTCGCGCCGTCAGGGTCGTGCTTCCCAAAGTCCTCCATTTTCTTCTGATTCTCGACCTCCTTCAGCAGCGCCTCTTGCTTCCTGACGGCGTTCTCGTGCCTTGTGCTCTCCTCATGCCAACGCATCGAGCCAATCTGGAGATCCCGTCCACCAGCACCGTTGCGCCCGTATCGTGCGTGGTCTTTGCCGTGCTCCATGCAGATACTGCAACGCAAGCAAGGTGCACCATCGTTAGTCTTATCCAGCACTAGCCAGGGGAATTTCGGTAACCAGTCGGCAGTGTACTTCCGTTGCGCAGCAAGATAGGCCTTCGCCATCTTCTCGGCGGGGGTTAAAGCAGCCGAAGGCAGTTGCTGTGGCACGGGCTCTGGCTCTGGTGGTGGCGGAGACTTAGGGGGAGGCGGCGCGAACGGGAGATAAGTCTGGTTGAAGCGACGCTTCTTTTCCGAGGCGGACGCAGGAGTTGAGGTAGGAGTTGATGCCGTTGATGTGGACGCTGGAGTTGATGCAGAGACAACAGGTACAACTGAAGGTTCGGCGACAGGACCAGCGTCAACCATAGCCTCCAAATTCCTGTCCCATTCCTCACTACTGAGAGAAGGCAGAGGCTGTGGCTCAACTGGAGCGGTAGCAACTCGACGGAGAAAGTCGAGCCCGCTAAGAGGGAGCGATCTAGGAGTTCGCAGATGGACAGACTCGTCGCCACCGCCATCGTCGGGCTCACTCCTGCCAGCCATGACGGCAGTGGCACGAGTGACGACGGGCGGCAGCGACGGCGAAGGTAAGCGGAGGTTTTCTTCTGCTAGGACGTTGTGAGAGATAGCTTTGGTGAAGGGGAGGAAGGGAAGGTTGAACAAGACGAGGATTTCGTCTGCTCTTCTTGGGGGTGTGTGAATTGTGGGGTGCCTCGGAGTGGGTGAGGGAGTGACGTCGGTCGTGCATGCATGGATGGTGGCTAAGGTCGGCGTGCGGTGGTGAGGGAACTGCTGCCAGCCTTGCAGTGATGCTGCAGTCGTCCAACCAGCGCGAAGGATGCTGCCAGCAGTGGCAAGGATGGCAGCATATGACGTGCCACTGCCTGGCGGTACGCGTAAAATGACGCGTATTGCGAGATATTGGGGCAAGGCCAGGTACAGGGTACAAGGGAAATCTACAGGTATACCCCCTGTACACTAACCCTCAGAGGGGTACAAATGGTTACTCTGATATAATCAGAGTAAAAAAAAACATGAATTTTTTTACTCAAGGCACTTAGAGTAGTTTTCAAAAACGACTCTGATTTTCAGAGAAACAGAGTAAATTACTCTGATAAAATAGGCCCTGGTATGAACCCGCTGTTGGAAATATCTCAAAGGACTTAGCGTTTCTGAAGTGTAACACTACACTCGAGGAAGATCACAACGGGTACGCGAGTCAACGGAGGTTACACAAGGGGGCGGACAAAGAACGCGAAGGAACTTGAAGGGTCGCAACTGGAGGTTGCGACTGACCGTTACAACAGCGCGGATGGTAACCGAAGCGACAATCGAGTCGTTGTGCGACTCGATAAACCGCTCCTGTAACTGTATTCTACAAACTGCTTTACTTTCCTACTTTCCTATATATTGCTGTATGCTTGTCTCTTTAATCAATCACTTGTTCTCATATACTAGTACAAGGGTTCAACCACTCAAACTTCCGCTGCACTACTCAAGTCTTTTACAACTGGGACTTAGTCTCTGGAAAGATCCTAAGGGCTTTTCTCAGCCCAACACCCGCATCAGTGCAAGTTTTGGAATCGCGTCTCAGTGCGGTCCATTCTGGTTTTCCGCGAGTCTGACCTTCTGGTGGTGCATAGGGTGTTAGAAGAGGGTTTCAGCTGGGTAGGCAAATTAGCGAGAGAAATGAGAGTGACCAGAGAGAAGAGAGGTACAAGGGAAGTGTTGTCCCCTCTACAGTGAGAACCAGTCAGAGTAATGCACCTGCCTAGCCTACATATACATAATCTATATGTTAACACACCCCCTAGGCTTGATAGGTGCAACTCACAGAGGTAAGAGACCAGAGCAGCACTACTAGTCTGTCCATTGGTTTGAGTAGCAAGAAGAGTTCACACCACACTCCCAGCACTTCTAAGCCCAGCACCCCCAAGCCCTAGCAAGCACCCCCATACCTAGCAGCAGCGGCGGCATGCTGCAGCCGGTTCAACCCTCGGCGTGCGAGGCGGCAACAACGGCAGCGGGGGCAGCAGCTACGGCGGCGGCGGCTGCGGTGACGACAGCGGCAGAGCCAGCGGCACCTGCGGCGGCGGCGGTGGAGCTCGCGGCACCCGGCGGCGTGGCACGGCTCTGCGACGACGGGGAAGGACAGCGCAAGAGCCATCAGCTGTGGCGGGGAGGAGAGCTTTCGGCGGCTGGTGCAGTTAGCGGGCCAGGGGGGAGGCTAGAGCGCGCTGGCTGGCGTGTGGGCGGGCTGGCTGGCGCTAAACCAGCGCGCTGGCCGCTGCCGTCCGTGCGCTGGCGCTTCGAGGCCGCCACGGCAGAACGACGAGGCCGCCACGGCAGCGCGTTGAGGCCGCCATGGCAGCACGTCGAGGCCGCCATGGCTGCATGACAGTGGGAGGAGAGAGGGCTATGCGGAAGCGTGGGAAGAAGGCCCCAGCGGAAGGACCTGCTCCGAAACCATGTTAGAAGAGGGTTTTAGCTAAGTAGGCAACATAGCGAGAGAAAAGAGAGTGACTCGAGAAGTGTTCTCCCTTCTACAGTAAGAACCAGCCAGAGTAATGCACATGTCTAGACTATACGTACATATAAATAAACATATACGTTGACATAGGGTACGCCCAAGATTCCAAGATTCCTCGAAACCAAGA